GGTATTTGTCCTAGCAACAAGAGAAGAGTAACTGAGACAACTCCTTAGGAAGAATTTAAATGATAGTGAAAATCCAGTCTCTATAACGTGAAACAGAAACAAAATAGTGAGCTTCCTTAGACTAAAATGGATTCATTCCATCTCAAAAGGGATCTGAGGAATTAGATCTTTCCTAGAAGTCACCTACAACCCCTGGAGGCATTTTCTCCAATAAAAGCCACCATGAACTCTCAGGCTGTCCTGGAGTGAAGGAATGGGAAGAAAAGTAAACTAGGGAAGAAGGAAGCATGTTGGCTTGCAGGTTAGCTCATGTCTGACACATCTCTGACTTCCCTGTGGATCAGCAGAACTCGATTCATGTTGTTAGGAACCTGATGAACGACAGTCCTTACATCACAGACTCCTGGAAACCACTCAGCCACTCATTCATAAATGCATACTTGAGTCAAACAACTATTTATTTATAGTTCTTTATGTGTTCCAGACACTGTGCTGAGAGCTGAAGTAAAAAACAAATAGAAAATAGCATTCAGCTCTGATTCATCTAATTGCTTTAGCACAAGCTTAAGAAAACAAGCATTCATTCTCATTCAACAAATATGTATTGAACACCTGCTCCTAGGCAGCTCCATTCTAGCCATTGCTTGTGTATGCAGGAGTGTGGAAAGGGCCCAACATCCCTGCACCCACTGAGCTTACTTTGTGCGGGGGGTGACAGACCAAACTAAGTCAACTTCATGGCACAATGGGTGGCACTAAGTAAGTGTCTTTAGGAAAACAAGTTGGGCAGGATGTACGAATTGAATGGGAGATCACCGTGTTATAGCAGGGGGCTAAGGAAAATCTTCCTGGGAGCAAAGGCCTGGTATGAGGTGCAGCATGAGTCACATAGACCAGGAAGACCCGGAAAGGAGTTTTGGAACCAGATCTTCCCTAAGAATTATCTCCAAACTTCAGCCCCTCTGCAGTTCCCTAGACTGTTTGTCCTATAATGAAGGAAATGGAAAGAAATTAAATTCAGGACAGAGAGAATTTTTGTTTCTACACTGCCTCTTTAAACAGCTGTATACTCACTTCTGGGGGAAGAGTCTTGGCAAAGTCTGTGAGATAAATAACTTTTTCACACGATTACAGACATTGAAATATGGGTATGATAGAAATATATGTCTCTCTCACTTTGAACATATTTGTCTTATCAGTCTTGCCACAATCTGAAGGAATTCTGGAAGTCTTTCACGAGTGTCTTCACAAGGTATGAAAAAAATAAAATACCATGAATGCTGCTGGCAAGGGCCATCTAACAGAAAGGGAGGTTTATAAAACCACAGTGCTATGTCCTCGCTCACCATATTCACTGGATCTGGCACTATGCAGCTTCTGGTTCTTCACTAACGTCACAATCACTATGAAACATTTTGAATTGATTAAAGACATTAAAGTAGTCATGATAGTGCTAGACACTCATGAAATAGGACTTCCAGAACTGCTACAGAAAATGACAAGAATGATGGGATAAATATGCTCAAAATGACGGGGGTTGACGGTAGTGTGCCATTTATGGTAACACATTTTTCTTAATTTAAATATTCACCCTGTTTTTCAACCACATCTCATACAGTTGGCTTTGGTGGAAGCCTCACTTTTGAGTGTCTTACCATGATAAGAAAGTAAAGCAGATGCTTCATTTGTCTGGGTTAACGGAAAATGGGTTTTGATCAACAAAGCCTGAGGTCTCCGTATGACTGTATATCTTACTGCAGGAGGCTGGCCTCACATATGGACTCTGTGTAACCTGCTCTGTGTAAACCCAGGTCTCAGTTCCCCATAGAACTTACAAAAATACATATTGTTTTCCTCATTGCACTCGTTTTAGGTGAAGAACTTTAACTGCTTGGGCTTTGTTACTTCATACTTAAGTAAGCTGCAAACCACAAGAAACGACACACACAACCAGCTCTGAGAATGCAATGAGCCCCACTGGGCTCCAGGTGGCCCCTAGCTCCCAAAGAGTGCTCTGAGGAAGGCTGCTAACCCTCATACATTGCCCAGCTTGCAGTTGTGCCCCCTGGAATGACCAACTGTTGCAATGTTTGATGCTCTGGGGACATAGATTAAGGAAAGCTGGATAGCTAATAAGGATTCCACAAGGTCTCCTTGAATTTTAAACTCATTTGAAAGATGTTTCTGCATGCAAAAATACTTGGCCTGCTTCTAAAGTGATGCATGGGTGGTAGGGATGGTGGGAGGGAGGCAACATCTTCAAATATACTTCATTTTTTTAATATGGCCGCTAGAAATGCAACTTATATTCAAAAAGAGTTCTCTGGAGAAAGCATAGCTGTCCTATTCATTTGTTGACTCACCTACATAAAATAACTAAACAAGGGGACACACAATATGCTACTCTCAAAAGGCTCTCCTCTCTCTACATAGTGTACAATAGCCAGTCGCTATTTATTTGGCTATAAATGAGATCAGTAAGAGCAGAATCTTTAGTTTCTTTAGATTAGTGATAAGCCTAAGTCTGTATTGGACAAGGAATGTTCAGTTTTGATCTTATTCACTATCAATGCCTTTTTTTAGGAGTTTGGCTTGTTGCCCTAGAAGCATTTAAGTGGAATAAAGAGATTAAACAGAAGTTCACCTAACATTGCCTCTTTAAAATAAAAGGCAGAGTGGCCATGGAAGGCTTGGGGAAAGAGACATGTTCCATAGAAAGGCAGACTGGAAGGAGAGTGACATCCATTCTGTGTTGAATTGCCTGGCCCAGGGGTGCCCTGGGTGTGTCTGTGAAGATGCTTCCAGGTGATATAAGCATTTCCTTTGGTGGAGTAAATAGTTCTCCCCAGTGAGGGGCATGAGGGACCAATCTGTCAAGGTCAGGAGTAGACAAAAGGTGGAGAAAGGAGGAACTTACCCCTTTTGCCTCTTAGCTGCCACTGCTGTTGACTAAGACTGGCACCAATGGCTCACCTGGTTCTCAGGCCTATAAGCTGGGCCAGAGTCACAATACTGGGGACCCAGCTCACAGTGAGAGGTCATGGGACTTCTCAGCCCTGCTAATCACATGCATCAGTTCCACATACTAAATCTCTTACCAAATCTATGTGCTAACAGTTCTGTTTCTGTGGGGAACCGTAACTGATACAGAAGGAAAGAGTGCTGTGGCCTAGCAGCTGCCAAGAAAGGAGGCCCAATCCCAGGTGAGAACATGCACACTGCTTTCTGCCCCATCAGCTACTCCCAGGAAGTGGTTTGTCTGCAGTCACACTCATGAAGTTCTTTGGTGCGTTGGTCCCTTCCTTGATTCTATCAACAAAGAATCTTTGTTTATTATCCAAACAACTTCTGGCCGTAGCTAAGAAACATCTAAGTATAGAGAACTTTCCTCCACAAAGATCATCACTGTTTATGGGGCCACTAGTTCACTCTTCCTTTCGTCATAAAGAATTATAAGTGGAGGCCAGATTTAGGTTCATATCCTTTCTTTATTTTTGCATCAACTATTATACCCAAAGGATGCAATGCATCTTGAAAATGGTACCTTTCAATCAAAGGTCAAACTACAATTTTAAATAGGTATAATCTGTTAGCAATGGAGATGCATGCCTGTAATCCCAGAACTCTGATTAGCTAAAACAGGAAGATCTCAAATTCAAGCCTAGCCTGAGCAATTTAGTGACTTAATGAGACCCTGTCTCAAAATGAATGAGTGAATGAATGAATGAATGAATGAATTAGATAAGGCTGGGAATACAGCTCAGTGTGAAGGCCTGGGTTCCATTCCTAGTGGACACACACACACACACACACACACACACACACACACACAGAGAAAGAGAAGCTATAATCCCTGCTCTAGGAAAGTGCACAGACTAATCCAGCCTTGACCTAGTGCTCCTGTTATTCTGAGCCTCCTGTGCTTGGTGAGCTAGCAACGTGATCAGCACTGCAAATGCTACCCGCAGCCACCTCCTACTCCTCCCACTCATAGTTTTTACTTGTTTGATGATTCTAAAAATCCCTTTAACAGCTACTAGATTTTTTCATTCCACGGATAGGGTTGACGTTTACATTACCAGCAGACTAAAGAGGCAGCACCGTGGGCTGTAGGCCGTGGGCCTGACTGCCTGCCCTTATAGCCGTGGAGAATCTGGGAAGGGAAGGGAAGGGAGTGGACAGGAAGCACCATGAGGAGAAGGAGCACAGCACAGGAAGAGCAGGCTGGGGACAGACAAACTACTGCCCTGCCCAGCTTGCCTTGCTGCCTCTGTGAGATGCGGCACTCCTTGGCTGATGCTGTATCCCATTAAAAGAAACTTGCTACAAAAAACATGACCTTCTCCTAGGAGCAAACATCTGGAACCATCCTCTAACACTGAACTATATAAAACACAAGACTAAAAGCTTTTGGAACGTTGAGGATGAGAGCGTTAAGATTTAGCTTTTGTCATTACTAGATCCATTCAACTAATGTTTATTTTATGACCACTACTTCTTATTATCATTGCTGATCTGAGTCATAAACTAAGTTATAGACTGGCTCATCATTTGTTTCCTTCTACTGTCTCATAAGAAGTCCTGTTATGGGATAAATAGCTTTATCATACCACATATTTTACTGTGCACGAACATTTTAAAAACTCAGCAAACTTATCTAAAACACCATTTTCCAAGATAATCGTGAGCATTTCGGTCAATAACCACGCTGCTTATTTTAGCTTTACTGAATCTGAAATTTCTTCATCATCATGTACTACTTTGCAAGTATTTGTTCATCAAGAACTGCAATCAATAAAAGAAAGAAGACAAAGACGAGAATCAGCTATTTCCCGCATTATGACTAGATTGTCCAGATGTCATGCCTGGAATACATCACGGTAACATTTCCCATCATGTTTTAAATCATTTGGAAACACAGATTTCCTCAACAAGCTGCAAAGCTTTGGGTGGCACTGAGTCCTGCTGTCAGCAGCAGCCAGGAAAGGAGCCCACTCTACCTGCTGGCGTCTTCTGCTCCACCTTGGGGCACTTAGATTCTTCTTGGAATTCTTCTTCCTGAGTTCCAGCCCCACAAGCCAAAAAAATCAGAGAGAAAGTAAAATATAGCATTAATTTACAGCAATGCCTTTTTTGCAAACCTGAGACCAAAAATCTGAGAAAATTACACCAAGCCCTCAAAACTGACGCTTTGGACAAGTTACAATTATAATTATGGGTATCTCACTCTGGGAGTGTTGGTTCCACTATTTCAGCTGCTATTCATGCGGAAATGCCTGTGACTATCATCATTCCAGTAGTACAACCCAGGGGCCCACTGGAACTAAGACATTTGGGGACACCAGATACTTAGACAAGCTTCTCCATAAGAGAAGAATGCTGCAAGTGTGACAGACCAAAGATAATATTGTTTTATTTTTCATAATTCAAGAAGCTGTTTTTATGTATTCTGAAAGTTCAGAGTTATTTTTAATCTCTGGAAATATGAAGTGCACAGTCTTCTTTGAGTCCTAGTATGATATTCTTTAAGTAGCATAATATATAATACATATATATATATATATATATATATACATTTTGGTGGGTTTGATGTAATATTTAAACATATACATAAGGAGTTCCCTAGCCAAATGCAACCTGTTTTTGCCTACCTCTTTCCTCCCAATCTTTCCAAGCATAGTGATGACCATTATACATTTAGGTCAACATTTTTTAGCTTCTACATACAGTACTTGTCTTTCTATGTCTGGACTATTTCACTTAACATGATGTCCTCTAGTACCAGCCATTCTCTAGTGAATGGTGGGATGCCATCTCCTTTATGGCTGAGCATATTCTGTGTGTGTCCCACATTCACTTTATTGACTTATCTATGGATGGGCACCCAGGTTGATTCCATGCCGTGCTGTGGTGAATATGATGGGACAAACATGGATGTACAGAAATCTCTTGGGTATGCGGATTTCTCATCATTTGGACAGTTGCCAAGGAGCAGTATATCTGGATCTGTTTTTAATTCTCTTAGGAACCATCGTACTGTTATTTATATGACTGCACTAATTCACATTCCCACAGTGTATGAGAGGCACCACAACCACTGGTATTCTTTAAGGACAACTGCTCCTGCTGTAACACTGATAAAAGCAGATGTGGCTAGAAGTGAAGACTGAGTTAAAGGAACACCAAAAGGATGCCTCTTTAATTTTGTCTGCAAGATGACTTTATGGTGAGTCATTCATTTTTTCCACTGTGGGCCATTTCTTTGGGATCTCACTCTTTAGGCAGGATGTGGAGGCCTGTCCATTAGCTCAGGTGTTTAAGTGCCTGCTGCAACAAAGCAGTCAGGCTCAGGATGCTGTGCTTCGGTCCCCTCATCCTCAAGCCAAAACCAGACCTGCCCTGAAGGCCACGTGAGTGCCCCCCCACAAAAAAATCCTTCTTTAGGCAGGATGTACTCCTGGAATTGCACTGTGGGCAGCTTTTTCCTACCTTGAAACAATTTCCATATACTTTGTTCTTCCTAAGAATTTAGCCCAACACAGAATATTCTAATCTACGATGAGGCATGTGGATATGGAGTTCCACATATGATAGCTTGGACAATTCTTTCACCAGGGTGCAATGAGGGAACTCAAAACCTGATCTTACCCATCATAGACACGCTGTGAAGTTTGTCATACATTTGCCAGTTTTCATGAGACAAGTAATGTCTCCTGCAGATCAGAACCCACCAGACACTCAAGCTCAGTTAGTAAGATAGAGAAATAAGCTTTTTAATTCATAAAGATAGGGCTGGGTAGATGACTCAGTGGAATAAACACTTGCCTGGCAAGCTCAAGGGCCTGAGTTCAATCCCTGGTTCCACCAAAAAAAAAAAAATTCATAAAGACAAGTTTTACTTCATTAAGTCAGTATTTAGTTCCTAAGGGAATTGGCATTACCTGTGTCAGGAACAAGTATTTTTTCCTGCAATCAAAACCACCTTGAAGAGTTCATCATCAGAGTTTTAATACTTTCCCAAATTTATCCTACTATGAAAGCCCAGGAAACAGTATTTGCATGAGTACTCTGTAAACAAGACCTCAGTCCAATTATCTCAAATTTATGTGTGACAAGAAATCTTAATAAAAGTTGCCTCCAAATTTGAGTTTCTTTCTTAGAGGGGTGGAAATCAGTGGTAAGCCAAAAGACATGCAAATTGTAGAAAACTCCTATCCCATCCCAACTAAATATAAAAGTAATTTCTTATTTCATAAGGCCCAACAGAATAGTACATAATAAAAAATAAGAGGCCTTATTGTATAATACAGCCACAGGGAAAATCTCTTGAGATGACAAAATTATCGAAATGAAGTTCTTTCATAAATAAGAGATTCTCTCCCTTGAGCCAATAAAAGCACTAACACTTTATTACTCTGAATTCCAGAACTGTGAAATAAGGGCCCTTTAGCTTTTCTCCACACATATTTAATATTCCATTTCAGATAGTTCCCCACTAGTTTTCTATTTAGTAAGAGCTGCAAATCCTGAAACAGTCTGTGGGGTAGAGTATTTACAGTCCTCTTGCTGGAGAGCTCTCAGCATAGGATAAACAAACATCTGTCTCTGATTGCATAAACTATATTCTATTTAGAGAAAAGAGGCTAAGCCCTAAAATGCATGGCCTCTTCCTTTTGGTGGAAGCCTGTGATTGGCTGGATTTGTCTTTAGTGCCTTTTCCCCAGCAACACTAGGGTACGATGATAGTAGTCCAACTCTAGTAGATACCTTTTGATTTTGTGGCCTAGCCTTGCACTGTTCCTGTCAGTCTGCTACATTTCCCTCTGACTGGTATACATGAGCCAGTCAGGGTGAATGAGAGGTAACCAGATTTTTCTCTATATTTCTGGGAAGATGGCAGTATGTCTCCTTTTCTTACCCACTGACCCTGAGACCTGAGACAAATGCAGGGCTTAGAGTAGCTCCTGTAACCACCACCTTGCTCTCAGGTGCTGCCAAGACTGATATCCACATCAAGGAAGGCAAAGCAAGGAAATGGACTGACACTGAGTCATGAGCACTGAGCACCCAGGTCAGCCAAGCCTGAAGCAAGCCCAATGGACATTTAGCATAAGTCAGCTCATAGACTTCTAAGTCAAACTGATTTCTGTCAGATTTTCTGTTCTGACAGGATGAGTCCTGGCCAGTACACCTGTATAATCACCTTAGGTCCTGAAGCTACAATCAAGGGCTTCCCTCCCTCCTCTGACCTCACACGACTTACAAAGCCAACTTCACCACCACAGTTCAGGTATTACAGGTTGAACATCCATATCAAAACTATTCGGGTCCAGAAGTATTTCAGGTTTCAAATATTTTCAGATTTGGTAATATTTGCATATACAAAATGAGACACCTCAAGGATAGGACCCAAGACTAAACAAATGATTTTATATAAAATTTAGTGTACTACGACTTGCCGATGACCAGTCACATGAGATCAGGTATAGAATTTTCTACCTGTGGGGATGTTGGTGCTGAAAACACAGAACATTTCAGATTTTGTATTTTCAAATTTAGGATGCTTAACCTGTATCATTATTTCATTTGAGGCTGATTTCAAAGTATTTTATCAAGAGGTTGTACTATCCATAATCTGGCATGACTTAGATATAAATCTCTTTTGCTAGAATTCACCTGGTTGAGCAGGAGCAAAAACTAGAAAAAAAGGAAGAGAAAAGAAAACTTAAAAACATGAACTTCATTCACCTAACTCAAGTCTTGGTGTTGTAATATTGGTAGCTGTCAGTGTACTCTAAGACATCATGTTTAGGTGTAAAAAAGTAGCTTGGGAGAGAAAGAATTCCTAAGCAAAGTTAAGGAAGGCCGATTCCATGTGTCTTTACCCTTCAACAAATTATGGCTGATTCCTGGCCTCAACTCCTTCCATTTAGAAAATGGATCTGAAAAATGACCCATTCCGTCCCAAGAAGGTTGAATTTCAATTTTCCATCATTTTCACCTATTATCAAGAACTTAGAGAGTTTTACAGTTCTCTCTACTATGGGCCATGCTACAGAACAATGTCTCTCAGTGTATAACTTCTTATTTTTTCTTATGCATATAAATGTGGACTAGAGTTTCAAAGATATGATTCTTGATCAAAGTATGTGCTTTTAAGACTCTTGATACAAATTCAAATTACTCTCCAAAATGTTTCAGCAAGTTGATGTGTCAAAGTGTGATAGTTTCATTGCAAGCTCCAGACCAGCATCTAATTCCATGTTTGAGGGTTGCAGAGTTGCTTATAGGAGGATGTTTTAGAAATCTTTCCCTGATACTGTATTCCAGTGCTGAGTCTCACACTACACTGTGTTGCTGCTCATAAGAACACATTTCATTTTCTGTGGAAGGCCAGAGCTAGGCCCTATCTATCCCACCAATCACTGCTTCTTCCAAGGCACAGACCAAACTTCCCTTTTTCAGCTTTCATTGTAGACCTACCCTGTCTGTCAATGGGTACTTCCAAACAATTTTTTAGTGAATTGAATTATTTGCTTATTTTATATCTTTATGCTTTTTCAATTTATCAGTATAATTTATATATATATATATATATATATATATATATATTATGGGTCATATTCATTATAGGAAATTTGTGCCTGTATATGATATAACTTTGCTGAATGCACAACATAGTAACACATCTCACAACGAAGTTTCAAACATTGTTTCTCCTGGTAACACAAACAGCAGTAATTCCTCCAGGAAGGATTCTGGGAGCACTTCCATTTCAAATCCTAATCTAACTTAAAATATAATATGAGCTAAGTTATTGAGTGCTTGAAGTGCCAGGTAAATTCACTTAATCCTCAACAAACCCCTGAGTTGGTACTTTGGAGTTTGAAGGTTGCTCACTTTGTTGTCAAACCCGTAATTGTCCTGCCCCAGGTTCCACATACTTGAGATTACTGATCCATGCCAACTGTCCCAGCTGGGTCAGTATTCTCCATATTATCAGTCCTATTTCACAGAGAGAGGAAATTGTGCCTTGGTGGGGTTAAGTCATTCTCCCT